CACTCTGCCTCCGGCCCTCCTCAGGCACTCTGCCTCCGGCCCTCCTCAGGCACTCTGCCTCCGGCCCTCCTCAGGCACTCTGCCTCCGGCCCTCCTCAGGCACTCTGCCTCCGGCCCTCCTCAGGCACTCTGCCTCCGGCCCTCCTCAGGCACTCTGCCTCCGGCCCTCCTCAGGCACTCTGCCTCCGGCCCTCCTCAGGCACTCTGCCTCCGGCCCTCCTCAGACACTCTGCCTCCGGCCCTCCTCAGACACTCTGCCTCCGGCCCTCCTCAGACACTCTGCCTCCGGCCCTCCTCAGACACTCAGGCACTCTGCCTCCAGCCCTCCTCAGTCACTCAGCCTCCAGCCCTCCTCAGACACTCTGCCTCCAGCCCTCCTCAGACACTCTGCCTCCAGCCCTCCTCAGACACTCAGCCTCCAGCCCTCCTCAGACACTCTGCCTCCGGCCCTCCTGGGCACTCACTCCGGCCCTCCTCACACTCTGCCTCCGGCCCTCCTCAGGCACTCTGCCTCCGGCCCTCCTCAGGCACTCTGCCTCCGGCCCTCCTCAGGCACTCTGCCTCCGGCCCTCCTCAGGCACTCTGCCTCCGGCCCTCCTCAGGCACTCTGCCTCCGGCCCTCCTCAGGCACTCTGCCTCCGGCCCTCCTCAGGCACTCTGCCTCCGGCCCTCCTCAGGCACTCTGCCTCCGGCCCTCCTCAGACACTCTGCCTCCGGCCCTCCTCAGACACTCAGGCACTCTGCCTCCAGCCCTCCTCAGTCACTCAGCCTCCAGCCCTCCTCAGACACTCTGCCTCCAGCCCTCCTCAGACACTCTGCCTCCAGCCCTCCTCAGACACTCAGCCTCCAGCCCTCCTCAGACACTCTGCCTCCAGCCCTCCTCAGACACTCAGACACTCGGCCTCCAGCCCTCCTCAGTCACTCTGCCTCCAGCCCTCCTCAGTCACTCAGCCTCCAGCCCTCCTCAGTCACTCAGCCTCCAGCCCTCCTCAGACACTCTGCCTCCAGCCCTCCTCAGTCACTCTGCCTCCAGCCCTCCTCAGACACTCTGCCTCCAGCCCTCCTCAGTCACTCTGCCTCCAGCCCTCCTCAGACACTCTGCCTCCGGCCCTCCTCAGGCACTCTGCCTCCGGCCCTCCTCAGGCACTCTGCCTCCGGCCCTCCTCAGGCACTCTGCCTCCGGCCCTCCTCAGGCACTCTGCCTCCGGCCCTCCTCAGGCACTCTGCCTCCGGCCCTCCTCAGGCACTCTGCCTCCGGCCCTCCTCAGACACTCTGCCTCCGGCCCTCCTCAGGCACTCTGCCTCCGGCCCTCCTCAGGCACTCTGCCTCCGGCCCTCCTCAGACACTCAGCCTCCGGCCCTCCTCAGGCACTCTGCCTCCGGCCCTCCTCAGGCACTCTGCCTCCGGCCCTCCTCAGGCACTCTGCCTCCGGCCCTCCTCAGGCACTCTGCCTCCGGCCCTCCTCAGGCACTCTGCCTCCGGCCCTCCTCAGACACTCTGCCTCCGGCCCTCCTCAGACACTCTGCCTCCGGCCCTCCTCAGACACTCTGCCTCCGGCCCTCCTCAGACACTCAGGCACTCTGCCTCCAGCCCTCCTCAGTCACTCAGCCTCCAGCCCTCCTCAGACACTCTGCCTCCAGCCCTCCTCAGACACTCTGCCTCCAGCCCTCCTCAGACACTCAGCCTCCAGCCCTCCTCAGACACTCTGCCTCCAGCCCTCCTCAGACACTCAGACACTCGGCCTCCAGCCCTCCTCAGTCACTCTGCCTCCAGCCCTCCTCAGTCACTCAGCCTCCAGCCCTCCTCAGTCACTCAGCCTCCAGCCCTCCTCAGACACTCTGCCTCCAGCCCTCCTCAGTCACTCTGCCTCCAGCCCTCCTCAGACACTCTGCTCAGCCACTCCTCAGACACTCTGCCTCCAGCCCACTCCTCAGACACTCTGCACTCCAGCCCCACTCCTCAGACACTCCCAGACACTCTGCCTCCAGCCCTCCTGGGTTACTCAGACACTCTGCCTCCCGGCCTCCTCCAGACACTGGGCCTCCCAGCCCTCCTCAGTCACTCTGCACTCAGCCCTCCTCCCAGTCACTCAGCCTCCAGCCCTCTCAGTCCACTCAGCCTCCAGCCCCTCCTCAGTCACTCCTCCAGCCCTCCTCAGCCAGTCACTCTGCCTCCAGCCCTCCTCCAGTCTCTGCCTCCCAGCCCTCCTCCAGTCACTCTGCCTCAGCCCTCCTCAGACACTCTGCACTCAGCCCTCCTCCAGTCCACTCAGACACTCACCCGCCAGCCCCTCCTCAGACACTCAGTCACTCTGCCTCCAGCCCTCCTCAGTCACTCTGCCTCCAGCCCTCCTCAGTCACTCAGCCTCCAGCCCTCCTCAGTCACTCTGCCTCCAGCCCTCCTCAGTCACTCTGCCTCCAGCCCTCCTCAGTCACTCTGCCTCCAGCCCTCCTCAGTCACTCTGCCTCCGGCCCTCCTCAGTCACTCTGCCTCCGGCCCTCCTCAGTCACTCTGCCTCCGGCCCTCCTCAGGCACTCTGCCTCCGGCCCTCCTCAGGCACTCTGCCTC